TGGGCCTTTTGGTGAATCAATATCTCAATAACTGTGACAAGTTTCAGCTTTTATGTAATAATTTCCCGTTATAAGCATGCCTCATTGGGCTTACATGTGGATCAAGGGCCAGAATTACTAACGCACATACAAGATCGTATGAGCGTGGTTTACATCGTAAATGAAGCTACTCTCTCGTTTCTCGCAACGGGCGTATTTCCAAAACACTTCTGAGGTCGTAAACCCGTCTCCGCACGAGAGACATTAGCGAGTGCCTGAAACTACTCGTAACGTTCATCGTGGCGACCCTCCTCCGCTCATCTCCAGGGCCGGATCCAAGGGGGGGGGGACGCGTACGCCCTCCCTATTTTTGGCAGAGTAATTATTTTTTTAGACCAGGAATTTTTTTACACATCATCAGGGAAGGACGTGGGGTATAGGTAGGAAAAGTCCCAATCAGCGATAGAAAGGTTAATTGATAGAAACTTTCTATCCCGCTTAGGCTTCGTGCCTTCGGCACTCGCAATCGTCTCGGCTAGGGGTTACGCCCCCCCTTTCTAACAATCCTGGATCCGGCCCTAATCTCAGGCACACAAACAACTTCAAGAGTGTGCAGCTGTGACTTTTCTTTGGGGAAATCAATTTATATGTAAGAGAACACATTTAGGAGGCATAGTAACAGAAAAATAAACAATATGGCTAATGTAAATAAGGATAGCCTTCGCTGATCCGCGAAGGCCGCGGAAACACTTAATGTGGGCCTACTATAAATCACTCAACAAGTTTAGTTAATCATTAATTAAGGGAGTTCTGACATCATCATGAACAAAATTTGAATGAAAATGTATAACTTCCATCAGTATGACTATTGTTCTCTAGAACAACATTTTATAATAAATATTCAATAACAAAGGTTATCAATACATAAACACACCTCTTAATTCCCTAATATGATATCATTATGGGGCAAGGGATTAGCTTACTGATGAATAATAAGAAAATATAATTTTAATAAATTTGTTGTAGTGTATCATACTCTATTAAATCATAATGTATTTACTGGTGAAAGTGACCCATTGCACCTGACTCTAACTAGGAAAAAAATATTGGCATTAAAGTTTCATGACTCCGCTATTTGCCTTATTGAATTATATTATACATAATTTTAGATATACTTAATATCATTTTATGTGATTTTTTCATAAAGAAACTGTCATTGGTAAACTCACATTAGTGCTGCCTCAATTCAGCAGTTAATATTCTGTGATTGATCGATTTTTTTCCGAGCTAACGCTGAATAGTTGTTCGAGTCGTTCTTTTAGGAAATAAAGACCTACGTTTACGAGAAAGTTGAGTAAATGCGGTCCCAGGAGTGGCTAATCTTTTACTTGCCCTCCTCCCTTCTGATGCGCCAGATGTACTGTACCCCTCCCCTCGCGTATATCATGAATCAATATGTTCAAAGACATAAGTAATTTTACATCAGATTACTGATTTTTTTTTTTTTTTTTTTTTAGATAAATTTGATTTACCTTCATGAGATTTAAGAGTCTGTGATTACACTTGTCTTTCAGTGTTTGAACTTAGAGTCTTCGATATGTCACTGTCTTCCTTTTATCGCCCCTGAGTCACGTGTCTCGCACTCAGGGCTGTCAATCTTTGGTTAAAGAAGCGGTTTTGTCAACAGTTAGCAATTCGTACGTGATCATTTGACCACAACAAATCATAGATGCTGCGAAGCTTTAGACAATTTCCCTCTCTGAAGAAGATATGTTGGTGTCAAAATATAATAGGATTGCGATCGTCAAGAAGAATGTGGTGTTATCATAAATTGGCTGCTGTAAATAAATGACACCTGAAATTTCATGCCACTTGGTTAAATCGACTTCCTATAATGCGTCTGTGTGTGTAAGCATACATACCTCATTGTCATGGGCAGGGCCGGATTATGACCTTTTGGGGCACCTATGCTAATGAAATTATGGGGCCCCCTCAGAATATTTTTTACTAGTGATATATTTTAGCGACATTTACATAGCTTGAAGTAAATTTATTGCAAATTATTTAAATAAACTAGCATAGCTATCTTTTGTTTGTCAACAAAAATATTCTTTAAATACCACTATTTTACTATATTTCAACACAACCGTACTGAAAAAAAAAGATTTTTTATAACCAAGCCCCTCAAGCTTGGGGCCCCCAAAGCTTGAGGGACCCTAGGCTGCAGCCTATACTAGCCTATAGGATAATCCGGCCCTGGTCATGGGATACGGTCATACTGCATGTTAGTGTTAAGTCGTATATTATTATTACGATAGGTCTTGTTACAATGCCTTAGTGTTTGGTAAGTTAAATTCTCTGTTTCTGACAAACACTATAACTATAACTAATCTGAAACAGCAACATTCTTCCATATGTAATTCCACAATTTGTTTACTTAAGTATTGCAGCTTATACAAACATAAAATTACTTAAGACTTTACTTCTTACTAAGTTCATGGGATATGCGGCAAACATATTTCGATCCATAAGCCCATGCAGTTATTGCTGGCCGAAAGTTGTTTTTTCTGTAACTGTGTTTATGCTAAGTAGTAAATACAAAGAAATTAGAGAAAAGGCATATTTTATGTGTATCTGACGGCCATCCAACTGCATAGACCGCCATGAGTTTTTGCGATCTCTTTTGTTTTCATATTACCGGTCTGAAAATAGTTTTGGGAGATATTTAGATTTTTTTCTAAGCTGGAATGTAAAATCGTCATTATCTTGATAAACCATTCGCTTGTTTATTCGCTTAATCATCATGTCAGTATTTGTTCTTCTGCATACAGTACGTGCTGTATTTACATTCTAAAATCTGCCTCTTTCGCGTAATTTTGTTCAGTAATATCTATTTCAGCGCAAGAGCAATTATACGGAGATAGATATATGATATAAACAGAAAGTGAGAGAAACCTTTCTTCATTATTCGATGTCAAAGGAGCAACCTCAGCGCTTTTTCCCGTACGGGACTTGAGGCACGTCAGGTGATGCTGGGTTACCAAAAGGCCAGCCCCCGCTGTGCACATACGACGCGGGGACAGTGGCTACACCGTGGGTTTGGTACAAGGCTATTGCAGGAGTGTTGTACGTCGCTGTGACTGGAGCCTGGTACGTGGTCGTGGTTGGGGCATGGTATGTGGCTGTTGCAGGGGTATGGTACATGGCTGTAGCAGGGGCATGGTACGTGGCTGTGGCTGGAGTATGATACGTGGCTGTGGAGGGAGAATGATACGTGGCCATGGCAGGGACGTGATACACAGCGGTTCCAGGGACTTGATACAAGGCTGTAATGGGGGCATGGAACTCAGCCGTCACGGGGGCTTTGTACAACGTCGTCGCGGGTGCTTGATACATGGCTGTGGCTGCGGCCTGGTAGGCAGCTGTGGCAGGGGCTTGGTACGTAGCCGTCATAGGGGCATGGTACGTAGCCATGGCAGGAGCTTGATACGTAGCAAGGGCTTGGATTTCGCGTCTGCACACAACGGGGACTGGGTGGATAGTCGTGAAAGGCACTTGGTAGGTACACGGAACATGAAAGGTCTTCGTGCAGAGCATAGTCAGCTTTTGCATACAAGGATAAGAAGGAGGGTATGTATAAGGGTAAGGTGTTGAAGTAGGACTAGCTAAGGGATACGAAGGAGAGAGAGGAGGAGGATAAGGAGGTGTTTCGTGAGGGAGGGGATCTGCTTTCGGCGCTGCATTTCCCAAGGCTAAGAGCGCACACAATAGTGGAAAGAGCTGGAAGAGAACGTGGGAGTTTTATTAGTAGTATAATGATTGTAACTGCCATCATTATCATCATTATAATTATCATTGGCATTGTTATGGTTGTTATTGTAGTCATTGTTACCATTATTGTCATTATTATTCCTGTTATCATTATTATGATTATTGTTGTTGTTAGTATCCTTTTTATTGTTATTATTGTTGTTTTTGCTATCATTGTTAATAATGATTATAATATCATTGTTATTATTATTTTATTATCATCATTATAATTATCATTATCATCATCATTATTAGTAGCAGTAGCACTAATAGTAGTATCATTATCATTATATTTATTATCATAATTATTATCATCAATATAGATATTATTATTATCATTATTGCCATTATTATTAATAATCATTATCATTATCATCATCATCGTCATCATTACTTATTTACTACTAGTACTATTGTACTTTCTGGCTATACTTTGTAGCTGTTTCTTTAATTAACTTTCATGGTTCTGTTTTTCCTCTCTCTTCTATTCTCCATCTGCTATTTCTTACCTGTGGATATTTATATGTATGTGTATATGTGTGTATGCGTGTGTGTGTGGATAGTTGTGTTGCATGTGTGTGTGCGTGTGTCTGTGGGTGGGTTGGTGGCTGGGTATTACTGTGTGTGTGTGTGTGTGTGTGTGTGTGTGTGTGTGTGTGTGTGTGTGTGTGTGTGTGTGGCTGTGTGTGTGTGTGGCTGTGTATGTGTGTGTGTGTGGATAGTTGTATGTATATGTGTGCGTGTGTGTCTATGTGAACGTATGTCTGTGGGTGGGTTAGTGGCTGGGTATTACTGTGCGTGTGTGTGTGTATGTGACTATGTATGTGTGCGTACGTGTGTGTGTGTGGTGTGTGTGGATAGTTGTAAGTATATGTGTGCGTGTGTACCTACGTGTGCGTGTGTCTGTGGGTGAGTAGGTGGCTGCGCATTACTGTGTGTGTGTGTGTGTGTGTGTGGATAATTGTATGTATATGTGTGCGTGTGTGCCTATGTGGGCGTGTGTCTATGGGTGTGTTGGTGGCTAGGTGGGGTGGGCATTACTGTGTGTGTGCGCATTTGTATACACGAGCCTATAACTAAATTTAAAAAAATATATATATATATTCATTAGCACATACATTCGTTCTCAAAATTAAATACATATACTACACAATCACCACAGACCTACACACACCTCTCTCACCTTCCTTACTTACAATCGTCAGCGACAT